GGGGTGTACACGATGTCTGCATCACTCCAGGGCACGTTGTGGTCCGACTGCCTACCGTGGACATATYGCCAGATTGTATTCTCCTCGCGCCAGGGTTAGTTGATCCTAGTGGACAATACACCTGACTTCATGGCCGCATATGGACCATCTGTCCGATTCAGCAGAGTCTGTATAGCAGTTAAAAAGTAATTCATTAGTTAAACAATTGATCAAAACAACATTTATTAGTTCGAATCGGAAGAAGTAAAAAGTAATTACCGAAAGAAGTACGTCGCCTATCGCAAACTTCTTGCGACATAGATGGAGACACTTCTCCAACTTTTTCGCTGTAAACAGGACGAGACCATCAAGTACCTGTTACATTTAACCAATCCATATTGATGTAATCAAACTATTGACGAATATAGTACTACGAATATAGTAACATGTACTTACTTCGTCCTTCAATTCAATACTAGGGTCCAATAGATCGCGATATCATTCCTTCTTTTGGAAACTAGTTGCAGTGGACCGCAAYCTCCCGTCCGTCTTCGGGTCATCCATCCATCTCTAGAACTTATCGTCCAACTGGGGCGGAATGAGACATACTGGGTCATAGCTATCCACGGTGATCCCACGCTGATCGGTTGGTGTGTATATATCCTTCAGCTTCCACGAGTAATGCCTCTTGCGTAGCCCACGCCCAGTTGGGGCCTACTGAAGGTCATATTCGTCCTGGTCAATGTAAGGTTCAACCTAAAATACAATACACACGTGAGTTCGTGTAATGACAGCTGACAGCTAATATGTATATGTATGACATTAAGTTTACCTTAATGACTGCGTCCGGTGCCCAGTCCTTAACCAAAACTACAAAATTTACAACCTACAAAATTGACCCTACTCAAGTAAAGTCATTGTTCTTTTTGAAACTACCTACCATTGAAAAATATTCTATGCAAAATAGGAAAAAAAAACGAAACAGAGGATAGAGGGGGAAAATCTAGAAAATCTGAAGTTTGAAATCCATAAAATTCGGTAAAATTTGAAGAGAAAAAAGGAGAAATTTGAAATCCTTAAAAATTTGAAAATTTTGAAAAGAGAAAAGAAGTGAGAGAAGGAAACACGAAGAGAGATGAGGGAGACAGAAGAAATGAGGAATAAGAAGAGAGAGAAGGAGAGAAAGAATATCCGATTCAAATGAAAAAAAAAGAGAGGGAAAGTAAAAATTTAAGTAAGTTAGTGGAGGGACACTATGATCATTTGGTTTATTTGATGATGAAATGATTAAAAAACATAAGTTTTGGAGGTAGGGACATATATCAAAATGGGCTTGAAAAATGGTTAGTCAATTTTACTTTTTGGGAGAACTACAATGGTGATGATTTTGCAATAGTGGGTAATGGTAATTAATATTCATGGGATTAAGGATCCCATTTCTCGACTGAATGCTCGTTTGAGCTTGTTGAGCTCTTATACCATATTAATGTTCATAAGTTTCATCTCAAAACCAATTGACTATGAGAAGAGCAGCTCATGTCTATTATAAACCTGTGTAAGGTCCCTTCTTTTATCAACGTGGGATCCTTAACAATGGTCCATCCTTATTCATAATTGTTGTCGAAATAATAATTGTCATTTTGTTTTTTATTTTAAATGTTTCCTTATCCTAAGAAAAAGTCTYGGGAAGAATCCTTTACAAAGAGTGAAAATGGTCTCTATCCCATTTTCATTATTTTTCCTTGCAAGCTTTTTCAAAGACTCGTGCCTATTTTGCCTGCAGTGATTTCGCCCTTTGGCATTCTAGATTGTCGTCCTCTATTRTTTCGAATAAAGCCTTGGCCACTAATGATCTTAGATTTAGTAGGTCTTTTTCTATTGGTGATTTTGTTGGGTTTGTAAGGTAATTGCAAACAAAGTCCCACATTGGCTAGGTAAGGGAATGATCATGGGTATACAAGAGAAGACAATTATCTCCATTGGTATGAGGTCTTTTGGGTGAAACCAAAAGCAAAGCCGTGAGGGCTATGCCCAAAGCGGACAATATCATACCATTGTGGAGATACGTGGGGTACGAGGGATACCGTTGTCCTTAACAAGTGGTATCAGAGCTATGGTCTAAACCTAGTTGTGTCGGTGAATCCTCGAGTGCCGAACAAAGAAGTTGTGAGTCTCGGAAGGTGTAGTCATGGTGTAATCTGTGGGTGTGCTCTATCAAGATGTGCAATCTATTTCATACCCTCTTCTTCACRAGGTTCAGTTGCTCCCATTATCCTTTAATTTCTTAATCCTCCTTCCTCTCTTTGTTCTACTTCTTGTTCGTCACATCATTGTCTTCTTCATTTATTGATCTCATATCTTCTTTTAATCCTTCACTTATGCCTACTGCACATACTAACTCAATTTCTTTACCTTCTATACCACAAGTTGCTACCATTGCTCCTTTGCAAAATTCTTTCTCGATGCAGATTCATGCTAAGTCTGTCATATTAAAAAAGAAGATGTGTCTTACTGATTCTGATTCAATTTTGCCTTTTACTGCTTATGTTCCCACAAATCCCTACACCTATCCAATTGCTTATAAGTATCGTCAGTGGCTGAGTGCTATGACTGATGAGTTCTCTACTTTACATCAGCAAGACACATGGAGTTCGATTCCTTCATCTCCTAGTATGAATATTATTGGTTGTAAGTGAGCTTTTCGTACCAAATTAACTTTGATGGCTTGATTTTTAGATACAAGGCACAACTTGTTGCTAAGTGTTTAATGGCTTGATTTTTAGATACAAGTTGTTGCTAAGTGTTATCATCAAGTAAAGGACTTTGACTTTAAGGAAACTTTTAGCCCAGTTATTAAAAAGTCTACTATTCTTTGTTATTTTAACTCTTGCTGCTTCTTTTTAGTGGACTTTACATCCGTTGGATGTTAAAAATACCTTCTTACATGGCTATTTAAAAGAGGTTTATATGTATCAACCTGTTGGCTTCAAGGATAACTCTCATCCTGACTATATTTGTACATTGCTCAAGTCTCTCTATGGTCGAGAACAAGTGCCTCGGGCTGGGCTTAGTTTGAGCGTTTTACTACCTACTTACTTACRCTGSGTTTTGTTGCTTCTCACGCTGATTCCTTGCTTTTTGTTTGTGTTGTTGGTTCTCCTGTTGAGAATTGGAAACAAAATGAAAAAGAAAAAGAGTGAATAATTAATGGGCCAAGGCCCAAAAACCTATTGTTTTAGGTTTGTGCCAACATATATATATTCTTTYTTTTTATGGTGGGTGAGTGTAGCCGTGAGAGAAAAGAAAAAGGGCAGTGGCTGCAGTTTTGGGTGTTGTTGCAGCAGTTTCAGAGACGGCGGCTCAGACATTGGGGCAGATCAAGATCGATATTATTGGGGTATTTGTATCTTCTTAGTTGGAGATTGTGTCAATTACCGTTGAACTATGTTCGCTTTAACTGATTAATTACACTTTGTTATTATAATATTGGTGAATTTCTTCCTACTGCAAGCTACTGTTATCCTGGTTCTTGACTTCTGTTATGTGTTGTCTTGTCTTGTCTTTTGTAACAAACTACTGACTCCATGTTGGTGATATTTTTCCATTTCATCCCAATAATTCATTCCTCAAAACTGTCTTATATATGCGTGGATCTATTATAAAGAATATGATTTTTAATTACAAATAATCTATTTATAAATCTCATAAAATATCACATAGTGTGCTACCAATTGTTGACTCCACCCATTTACATATAATCAAATAGATCCATCTATTTAAAGACAATAAGTTCATAATTTCGTGCAGTTATGCGTGTGAAAGTTAAACTTTGAACTCCAACACCTAATTATAAGAGAGCAAGAGAGTTTTAGAAGGAAGTGATGGGAAAATCCCTTTCTTCTTTTAACAAGAGTCATAAATAAGTAGAGGAACGTAACCAAAAAGAAGCAACGTCTCAACTTGGAACACACCAACTTTTACAAATTTCATATGAAGCTAACCTTCTTATTTTAAGCACTTCACAATTGTCACAGACGTGAACAAATCTTATGCGCTCTAAGAAGTYGTATGGACAATAGATGGCTCTGATACCACTTCTCARAGATAAYATATCTTTTCACATATTTATAATAGCATAATATTGTYTACATAAATCTTTTTAGYTTTCTTTAATCGCATAGCATTTTCAACTCAAATCTCACACATCCACAAAATTTCTCTTATTAATAATAAAATGCACAATAGGAAGAAATTTTATCACTCTATTTTACTCTTTAATTTTAATAATTTTCTCCATCGCTTTGATACAATTTTGTAATTCCTCTCTCCTAATGCGACTCTCTCTCTCTCCCATCCCCATAAATTCCACCAATATTTCTCTACCCCACGTCACCCCTTTTAATTTCCAAATATTTTTATTTCTACCTTGACTCCACTTTCTCAAATAATTCTCTCTTAATACTTTCATTATTTTCTTCTTTATTCACTCTTGGACTCTTTTTTCCTCCACACATCTAAAATTCTTACTCAAAGTATAATTTGTTTAAGTTTATTTAAACTTTTTAAAGATGGAAAGATGGTATTTAATAGAGGGAGAAAATTAGAGGGGCGAGGAGATAAAAAGAGAGAAAAATTTGTAAATATTGAAAGATATATTTAGAAAGAGAGATAAAATTAGAGGTATTGAGAGAGGTTTAATTTGTACTCAATACCTCTAATTTTATTCCAATGAAAAAATTGTTGTTAAAGTAATAGTAGCTGCTCACTAGGGCTGAGCACAATTGATTGAGGTCAGATTTTGGCCGACCTCGATGTCGAAAACGGATACAATAGGTTTCAAAATCTGGAAACTAATGGTTTACCTGCAAGAATTTTTGTCGATCAAACTGATTGTCGGTTCGGTCAGTCGGTTTGTCAAAAACTCGAGAATGCTATTTTTTTTTTCAATTCTGTTTTTTAATTTATTACCATCTTTTTTATTACTTCTATTCAATTTCTCTTGTATGTACCTTTTTTCATTACTGTTTACATTCAAGTTCAAATTCTCTTCCATGTAGTGAGGGGTGATTGTTTCAAACCTAATGTCTAAAAACATAAAAATAAAAACTAAAAAATAAAAAATAGGGTGTATGACCGCTGACCAACGACTTGTCAATTCTGAATAATCAAAACCAACAACCGAGCCGATAAACCAAGGAACCGACTGACACACGTTAGCTCAGTTGGTTCCAATTGATCGGATTAATTTTTCAAGTCTCTTTGCTCACCGCTTGCTCCCTAGTAAAACAAAAAGGGAAAAACACCGAGCAATGTAAAGAGACTACATTTTGACACAAAAGGGTCAACACTAGCACGTTGCAAGATTTCAATGTGTTGGCGGGACAAGGGCTTTGTTGGTAATGGAAAGAAAAAWTTGAAAAGTTAGTGTTAGGCTCCACAAAATTGATCAAAAAGTACCAACTTCACATGCATGGCTTCCACTGGCATTAATGAAAAAG